TGTGGAATATGTTTAAAGGATTGACTCTAGAACCTTTGTATATTTGATAGTATTTCTAACTTTCTTTTCTTTACTGTTTGCAGTTAATGTTCATGTTCTGCTATGCAATCATTTATATGCACATTTCTTTAATTTTTTTAGATTTTCCTGGATGTATAGTTTAAACAACAAAAAAGTCTATTTAAAACTGTAGCAGTAGTTTGCAGTTCTAGCAAAGAGGAAAGTTGTGGGGTTAAACTTTGTATTCTTTCTTATAGAAGCTTCTAAAAAGGTATTTTTATATGTTCTTTTTAACAAATATTGTGTACAACCTTTAAAACATCAATGTTTGGATCAAAACAAGATCCAGCTTATTTTCTGCTTGCTGTAAATTAAGCAAGCATGCTATAATAAAAACAAAATGAAGGGAAAAAAAGGGTCACTCATCTGAAAATATACATCAAAAGAGGAAATTTGAGAATCTCCAAATCTAATCCAGTTGAGCAGGGCATAGGGAACATGACTCTAACCCAAGAAGCCTGCAGCTTAGACCACTTTGATGAGGATGTTTTAGCACAAGAAGGAGACTCAGCATGGAGACCAGAAAAATCGGAGCCTCAAAGAGGAAGAATGGTCAGTGTTTGCCCAGTACCATCCAGGTAGAGAGCCACTAGCTATGAGAACATAAACACGCTGGTTTCTTAGAGCTGGACACCATTGTGGGCAAGGAGCAGTTGACCAGATTCACCACCATCTGAATGGAACATTCTTCATGACTACTCAAATTCCTTTACTCTAATTTCATGCTCATCAAGTTACACTAGCTGCTGTAATGGGTAATCCTGAGACTGCAGTGGTTTAAAGCCATAAAGTTTCATGTCTCTGTCATGTCACATCCCAAGGATGGTTGGAGCACAGGTAGGCTCTGCTCCACACAGTCATTCAGGGACTCAGGATATTAATATTTTGGTACTACACTCCCCTGAGTCTTTGGAGTATTGTCCATCAAGCAAGTGGCTGGGGAGGGAGAGGGTAGAGAAAGTACAGCCACTCTTCAGACTCCTGGCTCAGAGGTAACACCTCACTTTTACTCTCATTCCAATGGAGAGAACTCCTCATGCAGCCCAGAAAGGGGAAAACATGGACACAGGTGAGCATCAAGCAATTGTCAACGATTAATTTGGTTTGTCTGGTATCTAAATCTAGAAAAGAGGAGACTTGAACAATGTATATAAGCATTTCTATCACTAGGGAGCTATGTCTCCCATCTTAAACTAACACATCATCTTTTTAGTTTAGAATTCTCTGTGTCATGACTTTTCTTTTACTGCAACTTATTCCCTAAGAACTTATTCAACTCTAGATACATTCAAAAGATAAAAGTTTCTGAATGTGTAAACCTGAAGACATAACTTTGGACCAATGGTGGTCTCACCAGGACATTGCAAACCTGTGTTTTACCAACAAAGCAGTGAAAGTAAAAACTGGGAGATGAGCACTGATGTAGAAGAAAAGAAAAAACAACACTTAGAAAACAAAAATCAAATGCAGTGTGGGGACCTTGTTTCAGTACTAATTGAAAAAAAACTGTAAAAATGCATGTTAGAAGAGATGAGGAAAATTCATTCCTTCCCTAGAAGAGCATCCATGGAGGAGAGGTGGCCAGGCTGGAGGGGAGAGCGCATGCCTACAGGCTGAGCAAATGCTGCGGTCCTTTGCTTGGAAGACACCACATCAGGCTGTCGTTTCAGGGAGTTCACTCAGTTGCTGAGCAGAGGGTGGGCTTGAAGAGAAGGTGCCAAAGAAGTGGGGCCAAACTGGAGCCTATAACAAGAGTCTAGATGAAAAAATGAGGAGGTCCCAACCTCAGGCAAGGGGTATTAGAAGGGACTGTATGGAGAAAGAGACTGAAAATCAACATATTTAGAAGAGGAAAAAAGGGACTCCATGATCAAATTTCTTCACATCTTGCTCATCTTAACAGTCCAGTTTGGGATTTTCCGGTGGGTTTACTTCCATTCCAGACTGGCTGATGGCAGTTCTTCAATACAGGGCTTCCACGGTTGCTGGAGTTGTAGCAGACCAGACTGCAAGAAAGGGGAGCAGAGTTGAGTCCAGGGCCAAGTGAATCAGGAGTTGCTCCCAACGCTTCTGCGCATGTTCCGTTGGTGAGAGCTATCATGTGGCCACGTTTTGCTGTGAAGTCAGGAGGGGAGCTGGGAAATGCAGTCCCTGGAAAGCAGCTAAGATTCCCCATGACCATTCTAATACTAGGGAAGAACTGGGGAACAGAGTTTGATAGACAGCTAGCAGTCTCCATCCCTGGTCTTCTCCACCTAGTAATGCCTTTATGGGTAATCACTGACTCCTTTTTTTTGTTTCTATTTTTGCAAAACAAGCTACCCAGCCTATTGCTAGACTAGATGAGTGTTTATTCCAAATTGTGATTAATATATGAGAATTGAGGGCTTAACCTTATATGATAAAAATTACCATTACCTTGTTACTGTATAATCTGTTTTCTGGATTTATTGATACTATATGAATACTGAAATAACTAGACATTAATAGGCAGTGCACATATTTGATATATCTTTGATTTTCTCCGTTTTAGGATAGTACTTAATTCTTTAAGTATGTATATCAGTATGGGAAGCAAAATAGTTGTAAGCAAATACAATGATATATAAGAAAGAAATATAAGGATTGTATTTCATTTATTAGATTTCTACTATTTTCAGTGGCAGTATACAGAAAACAATTTTTAAGTTATGAAAAATACTTTGAAAAAGACTCCTTTAATTACACCATAGATTTTTTTTCTCTTCAGGCAATTATGATACTGTGCATTTTCTTACCGTAATTCAATTCTTCCCTTTTCCTTATATTTTTCTAATGTATCTTTAAATTATTTTCAAGTACAAAATTGCTTTGCAAAAATACCTACATACTGTGTGGGATAATCATTATCGTTTTTTTCTCCACTACCTTCTCATCACATTAAAAAAGCCAAGAGTGACATAACAGTTGCCAAAGAGACAAAAACCATCTCAGTTGTCTCTAGGCTGGGATGGCTCATGGCTTGCTGTTACTAAAAGCAAATAAGATACAAATATAAATAAATAAGAAGCTGTGCTGTTGTTTAGTTGGAAGGAAAGTTTGGGGCACATGCATGGTTCAAGATGACCTTCAAAGAGATCACAATGTCAGCATCCCAGCCAGTCACACACAAGGGGATAAAATGTAGACTGACAGTTAAAATCTTTCTTCTCCCAGTAATCTGCACCATCCTTGTCATAAACAGAAACAACAGCACAGGAAATATCTGGTCCTTTCACCACTGGTGGTTGCCAGTTCCAACGTGGCTAATTGCTACAGTTTCTGAAAAACAAGGAGTATTTCAGAAACCTCATTATGAGAAGAGATATTTGCAATTTACAGGTCAATGACGTAAGCATCGTACATGCCCAGATGTGACCAGGTCTCTGTTACGTGAACTCTGGCAAGTTAAACAGGCCGTGTCTTATCCTATGAAGCACCTAAGAATGCCATAAGCTCACCACAATGGCTGGGAGGCACCAGAGCTGACCCTCAGGGGAAAAGGTTTGAGAACAGACATGAAGGATTCTCCCTAACCCACAATGTTATCATTGCAGTTTTAACAAGATAAATTAAATACTCTACACTTTAATTCTCCATGAACTCACTTCAAAGTTTATTGCACTGAATTCCCTGATACTCTGTGCGAGGTGCCTGGGATGCAGTTTAGGAGGGAGATAGTTTTACATAGACAGATGATGACAGAACCTGAGGAGGAATCTAAGCCAAATTCCAGAGAAGGAGTCAAGATATCTGCCTGAAGACAGGAAGGGCTCCCAGCCATGGATGCTGGAGCCGAGGCAGTGAGCAAGGGATTTCACTAGCTTAGACTGAACCCAGAAAACACTTGGAAATTTGCACGTGACTTGCAGGATAACAAGTGGGATTTATTTTTGCATACATGCACATATAGCATCTGCTAGGGCTGCCATAAGAAAATACAATAAACTGGGTGGCTTAAACAACACAAATGTATTTTCTCACCACCCCGGAAGTAGGAAGTCAAAGATTCAGGTGCCAGTGGGGTTGGGTTCCTCTGAGGCCTCTCTCTGCAGTGTGACACCCTCTTGCTGCCTCATCACGTGGTCATCCCTCTGTGCAAATACGCCCCTGGTGTCTCTCTGTGTATCCTAACCTCCTTTCATAGGGACACCAGTCATGCTGGATTAGGGCCCACCCTAATGGCCTTGTTTTAACTTAAGTACCTCTTTAAATGCCCTATTTTCAAATAGAGTCACCTTCTGAGGTACTGGGGGTTAGGGCTTCCCCATATGAACTGTAGGGGCACATAATTCCGTGTACAAAAAATACATATGTCTGTATATATTTAAGTAGAATTTAACCTTCCACAACCCAGGATGCTGCTGCTGTTCCATTGTACAGAGGAGGAACTAATGCTCAGAAAGTTTAACAATTCATCCAGCATCACACAGTTGTGTCAAGAACTGTAAAGGACTGCCTGCCCACAAAGTCCCTGCTTTTACCACCAAACAATTCTTTGAAGGGAGAGAAAAATAAGTACCAGTTGTGAAAATTCTTCTGTGTTACTTGGTCTCCATTCGCACACTCAACTGTGGCATTCATCTGACCCAACATTTATGGTGTACACACTACATATCCCAAGGAATGGCTTTGAAGTTGTGACTCTTCCATGAGAAAGTTGCAGAATTAAACTGGAAATAATTTTAGTATCTGTAAGAATTGTGTACTTCATCCAGACAGGGACTCTGTGGTGGGAGGGTGGGAGGAATACAGAATTCTGTCAAGTTCAAGGATCTTTAGATGTAAGA